AATGGTTAACTAGCCGTAAATTATATGAGGTACATGATGGATGTAAGGAACATACATGAACAATATTAATATTTGTGTTGCTATACTAGAAGATCTGCTAGCACGCATGCTAGGTTGGGTTAAAGTGTCAATCATTTCACCAGGCAATATCCGTCTGGAGACCACCATCCAGGGGTCAGGTTCAGGATATGATCTTAATGACAGGACAGGGCTGTGGTCATCTCGGAACAACTTCCATCCATGGGAAATATTAGAATAGTCTTCCTAATTGAATCATTATGTAGGTGGGCCTGCAGGGGGGTTCTTTCATACATGAACTACCCTCACTTCCAGCATAAAGATACTTGACTGCTTTTAGACAAACTGAATCCACTGCTCACTCTCACAGGCAAAATAAATAGACTGAAATATGCATATCATTACTGTAATATATGGTTTATAGCAAATATCATCCAGATTCAACCCAATACATTTTTCTCCAACTATTTTCTATCGCATGGGAGCCAGGCTATATACCAAAACAAATTATATTCATCATTATTGCTATGAATAGATTTTGCTTTAATTTTGTTTTCTTTTGATATTTTGTAGGGAGGGTAGAAAAAGAGAAAGATATGAAGAAAAACAAAAATTTCTTCCAAAAGACAAAATACATTGATTCAATTTATCATAAAGACAGTGGACTATTTGTGAAAGCATCCGATACCTGTACTTTGTCTTTGTGATTAAAAAGTCTTTTAGTTAGCAATATTGTCTGTTTGGAGCCAAAAAGGCATTAATTCTGTGAAACATTATATGCCCTTTTGTCTACAAACATATGCTATGATGTTACACAATGAGTCGATTAAGGGTATGGCTCTGTCGACACCACCAGGCCAGTTTGTCATCCTAAGTAAATTAAGTCAAATTTGTCTGGGGAAGTGAAGAAAAATTGAGTTATCTCGAGTAATATTCATGTGCACTCTGTTTCTCGGTAGCTCGGAATTCAGAGGGGTGTCTTGTATCTGCAGCTGGACATGTGGAAAATTATAGTACATGTGCAAAAGCATTGAAAAGCCTGCTGATATTTACTACTGTGCGTGTGTAGGAAACTAAGAAAAGGAAGCTTTACTGAACTGTCTATTAATATAGTGAAATTAATTTTCTTGTGTAGCATTAGTAAGTTCGTGATCTCTATTACTTCCCAAATGTATTTCTTTGTAAGTTTAGATATATATTTTTTTTCTCACATACCTTTTTTCAATGAATGTACCGTTTTTACCAGGGGATGGGATGTTGAAAAATTATCCAGCGAGAGAGAGACAGACAGACAGAGAGACAGACAGACAGAGAGAGACAGAGAGAGAGAGAGAGAGAGAGGGTAGTGGGAGGAGGGGAGTGAATGGAAAGTGAGGGAGAGAGAAAGGGAGAGAAAGAGAGGGAGAGAGAGATAAAGAGGGAGATGGAAGACGTAAAGGGAAAGAAAGGGGCAAGATAGAGAGACAGAGATAGACAGGTGGATAGTATAGAGAGAAGGGGAAGGAGAATATGAGGAGGGGGGGGGGGACATACCATGGGGATAGCCCAGCACAAAGCCTCTCAGGTTGCGGCCAACCAAAGAGAGAACGGTATGATTAACATGATAATAGGTGACTCATTTAGGCTCTGGAATGAGGGCAGACCTAGGTTTCAATTATCCTTGCATCCCTGATTTTGTCTAATTAGCTTCCTTTCTTTACTTTCATCTTCTTTCTTTGCCTTACTCAGTTAAGTGGCCTAAGCCTCTCATTTCTTGCAATTGCACTGTCACTCACCACTATTTAAAGAAAAAGACTGATTCCAAAATAATTTTATCTATGAATAATGAATATCATTGTGCCAGTTCTCTAATCTTGTACTGGCTATATTATTTGCCTCATCTGATAATCATACGCTGTACCTAGAATAAAAAAGTCTCTTCTAATCCATTTCATCCTTGTATTGATAATAATAATAATGTACCAATCACTATTCTCTCTCCCTTTTTTGAAATATGCTAAGGAAATAAAACACCAATGAAACAACTATGGTATGGAGATTCCTTAGTTTTATGTATTACCACTCTTATTGATACATTATTTAGTCTAATCACTTTCTCTTCTATATGTACATCTGTATCTGCATCCTTATTTTTAGGATAATCATGTCTCAATCTTACTCTATCCTTTTGAATCTTTAGTATTCTCTATCTTTACTTGTCCTAAAATCTGAGATTATATCTTTCTTTCGATTTAAATATCAATTTGATCACATAGTTGTGAAAGACTATCATGAATTCATCTTCATATCTCAGTCAAGAAGATCCAGAAACATAAACAAACCTTGCGTCAGAAACTCAGGAAAGTGTCAATCTCTCACCCTCTCCCTAACAGACAGGAAATTTCATCACTTGTCAGTCATTAGTTTCTAACCTTCTTCATTAAATCTTGGACCAAACATAATTTTCTTCTGGAAAATTCTGGCTAGCGAGAAGATAGCACTTCTTGAACAAGTTCTTATCGTAAAACAAATTTTCCTGGCGTCATAATTTATTGGTTTATGAGAGGGTATTAACCGCACGTTTTGGGGGTACATGTATGTTCTTTCATATGTAACAAGATTGGGAAAAGTATTCTGAGAATGATGTAAAATGTTGGTCAAGGATAGCAGTATTCACACTTATAAATACCAACAATGAAAATAAGCAAATTCAAAGATCTTTTTGTTTCATTGTTTTCTTTGTGTAATATGTTTTTCTATTCGGGATATACATTTTCAACTTTTTATTTTTATTGATAGAAGGATGGGAAGCAAGGATTGGTCGTACATAATTAGAGTTGGGAGCACTATTTGTGACATCGCGATCTATATCAAGCCTAATGTAAGATGTTAGCAGACAAAACTGACACTATTGCTGTATGACTAAATATGTCTTCACATCTAGACCTTCAGATCATACAGCAATGTATATATTGTCACGTCATGTGTTAGGTCCTTGGAGAGTCTTTGCAATAGTACTCAGACAACTTCATTGGCTTCATTCCAGTCCTAATTATACTGCTCAGGATATTCATATTATGGTCCTTTAAAGTCATCTTTATTTTCCTCTTGTCTGTGGTTTGATAGAATCGCTGAATATTTAATGACATTCCCCATCTTAATTTTAAATTCTCTTAGACTTTATAATTCATAATTTGCAGAATTTATTTTTATTTTTTTCATTGACTTTTTGAAATAGTCACAAATTATTTTGTTAAAGTTATTCTTAGTGGAAATCTTTCAAAGCATAATTTTGGCATGAGTTTATAGAGACATAGAAATCAAAGACCAAGTCAGCAGGAGCAAGTGAATATTAATTGTTTTACCTATTGTGTTCATTATTTCACTACAGATTCACTTGTAGTAGTGAATGATGAATTCTCTTTTTTTTTGGGGGGGGGGGGTCCTAAATCATGGATATGGTAATAAAGTTTATATCTAATAAAGGAGTTCTACCCCAAGATGATTAAAAAAAAAATCAATTATGTGCCTTTTTTTATATTGATGTGGAGTGCCCAGTCATGAGAGTAATGATGATATCTGTGCATAGTGTTGATTCCCCTTCGCCCCTCCCTTGTGGTTACAATAATGAGATCTTTACCTAATGGGGGAGTTTCCCTAGGTGGTTGTAAATAAAGAATTCTGTGCATAATGTGGAGTTCCCTATCACGGTAGCACTAGCAATGATGAATCCTGTGAATGCTGTGGAGTTTCCCCATCGTTGGTGCATAGAAAGCAATGATAAATTGGCCAGATGAGTCATCAATGCTAGGCAGTGGTAGATCATTAAAAATGAAAGCAATTTCATCCCATTTGCCCGACCCTATTAGAACAGCCTCTCACTTTCAATGCATGCAACAAGGTGAATAAAATGAAAGTGACAAGATAATATAAAAGGTTTATCTTCTGCTTCAGGTACTTGATTCAGCTTCAGGTTAACCTAGCTTGACCTGGGGTAGAAGAGCCTACATTGTATGATACCACCCTTCTCTTAGTCAGACAAGCCCTTGTTGTACAATCATAACTGCTTTACCATCCACCTGTATAGAAAGACCACCTGTCAAGAAAAAAACTTTTTTGCTTCTCTTGAACAATGCTTTCCATTAAAATATGTACTGACAAAAACCTGTACACAATTGTATTATCTCTCTCTATGTAGGTTTCATTTTAATAATAATATACATGTCACCTCATGGCAAGTGTAATGTATCTTTTTTAAATCTCTCTCTTTCTCTCTTTTTATCTCTCTTTCTTTTTCTCTCTCTCTCTCCCTCTCTAGCTTTACATGAAGATATTTGAAGTCAAGTCAATAATATATAAAAAGTGATTGAGATGAGAGCACTATGGTTTCAGTTTTTTAATAATAAATGTCATTTTAAGAAGAAATGTACCCTGAATCAAGAAAAATTGCACACTTTAGCAATGATTTAATAGCCTTAACCAGACACTGCCCCTCTCTCTCTATAAACACCTCTCTGGATTCACAGACAGGTATATACAGTTACTTCTTGCATATCATTAGACAGCTTTCCTCTCCCATATCCTACCGGGCATACAACCCCACTGACCACCGCTACACTCAGTGTGTATGTGTGTGTGTGTGTCCGCAGCTCATTCACAATTTCATTAGTGCAGCTTGAGTGCATGGGAAAGTGTGAGGAGTATTTGCATGAGTGGGCGTGGCTTGGTTGCTACTCCACCACCACCACCACGTGCCCTCATCCGGGCATAGATGATGAGGGTATTGAATGAGCATGGAAAGGAGGAGAGTGAGTCACACTGTACCCCTCTCTCTCTCTCTCTCCACCACCTTACAAACAGATGGATGTTTTCATCTTCAGTAGATGGTGACACACTATGTGTGTATTGTTTGTGTGTATGTATGTGCATCATTATAATCAAGTGCCTAGTACTGGAGTCTATAGCATACCCACAGCACGTCTTTGGTTGTACTTGGAATGCATGAATTAAGAGGATGGCGCCAGACTCCTGTCCAAACCTAGCCATGAATAACCAAACCGTACCATGTAACTGACTGACAGATTGAGGAGGAGGGTAAAAAGAGGGCAAACCTGTTCCTTTTTTATGATAGGGCATCTCTTTTCTATTCACTAACCGGTGTGTGCGTGCATCCGGAGAATTTTTTTTCTTAGCCCTGCCGGGTGCAGGGCCGGCTGCTTTTGATGGCCTGGTACGGCAAGATTTCATTTCGTAAGTCGGCAGATATGAGGCGATCGCATGCACACGGACATGAGTCCGACAGGGTAAGCTATACCTACAGGGCTACCAAAATGCCCCCCATTACCGCTTCACGATCATTTCTTATGTATTTCCCTGATTAGTCATCGCATGTATTATTCATTTTCTTCCTTCTCAAGTCCAATGTTTTTGGTATTTGTCTGTTAATTTGGGGTATTGTATTCCCCTATAGGGGGGATGAATGTGAGTGGTGTGTGGTGTGATATTCATCCTTCAAGCTGTAGTTGGTCCAATGGTACCAGGTTTCATATTCTCTTTACCTCGTGTATTGGTGACATGACTGAGTCGCTTGCCAACACTACTTGTTACTTGCTGCTAACATTTTGTGCTACCTGCAACCACTAGATCACAGACTGCTTGTTTGTAAGTAATTATTTATTCTTTATTGTTTATAAATCATTTTACTCTGAATTCAAGATTTTGATTGTTAAGGTTATGACACTAGGACTTTATTTGTTTATTGATATTAAGGTCTTTTTATTGACTTTGTAAGATCAAATGGAATATATGTCTAAGTGTTCATATGCTTAGTTTGGTGTTATTTGTGTGTGATACTATGGTGGTAATCAAAGCTACTTTATTTTGTATAGAAAGAAAGTATTGCAAAGGTTGAAAAGGTTTCTCTACTGTAGATCGAACGCTAAAACCCACATTTCTTAAAGACAACAAGTGTAACAAATAGGCTCCAGAAATGTTTACGAAAGTGAGGAAACACACAAATTGAAATGTAAACAAAGTTTAAGTCAAGTACAATTTGATAAATTGAATTGCATTGTATCCTTCTTTTCTGTTCTCTGGACATCTGATAATCATCAGTTACTCCTCTTCACTGGTATATTTATTACCAAAACAAATGTTGAAGCAATCACCAGTGGTATGTAGTAGCTCAAAACATTTATGATACATTGATGATACTCTAGTAGATAACATTGCAAACATGAATCACTGATGATGTTAATTCAGGTATAGGATCGAGGCTCGCCATATCAGAGATCGACTAATGATTTTACAGGAGTCTGGTGACTTGAATTGTTTTTAAAGTAAGACAAAGCTAGTATTTATAGAATATACGGTGATGTAGAACTTATGTACATTGTGATTGTTAATGGTAAGGAAAGAATATTCCCTAACGACATTGTTAACTCTTGTGGAAAAAACATTCAAGAGGACATGAATCTCATTAGATAATCTTCTTTGCTGCTATGCATTTTTTGTCCATTTGGCAAGTACATTTATATGTATTCACAGAAAACACAGCAGGAATGTACACACTAAGATATAAGGATGCAATTGGGGTGCTGGGACCCTTTTCACAAAGCCTTTTTTCAATGACAAATGACAAATATCAGAGACAAATCTGTTGATAACCAATCAGAAGCAAGGATTTCAGTAGCTTATAGCAACAACTGTCATTTGTCACTGATGACAAGTTTTGTGAAACACCCCCCAGATTTGCATCCACCTATGTGTATTTGGCAGAGGGTGCTGCTGTTGTAGCAGAATTACACCCTTATTTCTTAGTGTGTCGCTGTCATTATCCAACAGGGAAATAGTTTGTTTTAGAAACTTCTGCATTCTTCCCTTTATGTGCATGATTGCCACACTGCTTGTAACGGCTTTAACTGATTTTGCAGTACCCAGGTATAATCCATGTACACTTTTGATAACCATGAGTTACCCCCAAAATGTCTTCAAATTTATTATATTTTAATAATTCTTGAATGATACTGTAGCAAGATACTCACATGCAGGTGTAACTTGCTGTCAAACTATTTTACCCTGAGGTGGATTATTGAACAAATAAGAAATAATAGATTTCAACTATCCCTTCAGCTTCTATCTAATGGATTTTTCAGTAAACAACTTTTTGCAAGCTGTTTTTAGTCAAAATTAAAACAGAATTTAAACTCAATTTTAATATCATTGTAACTATTGCTATTGCAGTATATGTCTTTTAAATGTTTGAAAAAAATACTTAAAACAGAGGACTGCACGAATAATCTTTGCAATATAAAGTTTATGGAATATTTCCTTTGATCATCATCCATGTGCTGCTTCCCATAATTATTTTAGATTTGTCTTCAAATTTTACAAAACGTGTTTTCAACATCGTGCTTTGTTGTGGCATGTCAGACCTGTGTTTTCCAGTTCACTTCCCATAAAACCTAGTCTGCCTACACACATACAGAGATAGCTCTGTCTATAGTGCATTTGAAATCAAATGCTTTGTGCTTCGATTGACAGTCTAAATGCCAGAAACATTATGCATTTTACTTCCCTACGGCAACACACAGAAATGCTTCGACACACTATCTTGGTGAAAATAGGAGAGAATCAATAGCAGTGGGAGAAATTATGTATTATTTTACCCAACTGAGATTCAGAAATAAATGAGTTTTATATTGAGTGATACACATTCCCATAGTTTAATGGAACTAGGATGGAAATGATTCCCTATCTTGCTCCACATTTATGACAGTGATTTACTTAGAAACATGTTCCATATGCTGAGTGCTTTTTATAGGCCCACTCTTTATTCTATTTCTAGTTTTTGTCACCCTCATCTTATTTTCACCCACCTTTTTCAGATATCCTTTTGATTGTATCTTCTTTGCTCTCTCTCTTTAACTCATTCCCTTTATTGACGCTGTTTATACCTTTTACATTTCTTTTTATAAATCATTTGCTTTCTCTGTAGAAGAGACATTTCGGTTGAATTTACAATATCTTTGAGTATAGAAACCGTTGTACATAAACAAGAATTCCTTGAGTAATGATGCTGATGCTGAGAAAGATTAATTTTCTGTGAAGGCATCTAGGCCCCTTCTAAGTCAACATCGATATTGATTAGAGAAGCAAACGTGCGAGGTTCTATATGATATTACATGGAATAAGAATGAAATCAATAGAAGCAATAGTGCTTGTTCGCATTGGACAACCTTTATAGAAATATATAAGCTTGCTGCAAGCATCATCGTGCATCGCAAGTTTGCAACAGCTAATAAAGGTACATTACAAACAAACAAAAATAGAATGCTTTAGATTTGTAATACTGACAGAATCTCTGAATAGATTTACTAAAGGCAGTTTAGAATATCTTTTAACAAGGCAATAGAACATTGTTTCATTAATATTTTGCTCCTAACTTAATGTCCTTGTGCCATATGAAGAAAAAAAAAGTAATAACAATATGGTGTCATGCAATAACACTTGTTTTCAAATATATCCAGTTTTATTTATGAGCAGATTTTGTGTTGAGCAGAGTAAATCTCTTATCTGCGTGTCAATAAAGTTAGTGTCATGCGTCAGGCGAACTCTAAATTTTATTTGGTCTCAGCCTGCAATGAAGATAGTTATTGCCCTTCATATTTCTACCAGGTTATTGCAGCTGGGTCTGTCTATTACACCCCCATAATATGAGCAGGAGCGTTTCTGGTAAACTCATAAAGGATGACGTGTTATGAGACCGAGACAAGTCATGTTCATTACATGCTTAATATTAGATGAGAAATTAAAAGACATTATGGTTTATTAAAATGATAGATAATTTATATTTTAAAGTAATCTCAGAAACGATTAACCAGTCTAGTAAGATGATTTATAGGTAATATTACGTGTCATTTGTTTTCAAATAAGATAGAAAGAGATATCTAATTCCTTATGATTAAGAGCTATTAGTCATATCTATTAGCTTTGCAGCAATTTGCTTGTCAATAATGTAATATAAATGACACACATTAGATAATATTCTATGTGATAAATGATTAAGACCTTTTTTAAACATTTTTTTTTCTTTCACTGCACCATGACCATTTACTCACAAAGGTCACCAGTACGTCATGTGTTCATATTGTCATTTTCTTGTTCATTTAAATTCTACAAAGTTAATGGCAGTCATGACTTTAAATGCCAAAAATGTAGACTGATATATTTGCCTATATTATCTACTTTCATTTTACATGTGTTAATGTACTGAAATCTGTTGCTCAATCAACTGTTGCAAGTTATTGCATGACACGCATATAAAGGAAACACTTATTTACCAGGAAACCTCTTTTTCAGGTCTATTTACCCAATTTTTACAAACATTTTCTTTCTACCTAATACCTATATTTCCGAAAAGCAGACATTCTTGGCAATATCATAGTTATACCTTTCCTGTCTTTTCCCCTCACTTTACTCCATTTATCCCAATTTCTAGCTCCCTTTGTTAAACCCCAGACACAATAGATTGAGTTGGTATCAGATCACATGCCATGCACACACTCCTGGGGTTGCATGTAACTGATAGCTAGGACCGGTATTACGTTTCATTGTTGTGCTCAGCCCCCCTGGGGCCAGCCACCAATATCATCATACATTCACATCTTTTGCCTGCCTGCCTGCCTGCCTGCCTGCCTGCCTGCCTGTTTGATATTCAGTAGAGGGTTGAAAGTGTTAATATAATCAGGGAGAGGTTATCATGCTCACTTCAAGGTGTCACATCTATCTATCTATCCTCTTTGTCTCCTATCCTCAATTTCTCATTTTTATTCAATATCTTTTCTCAAGCCTGTGTATTACTTATATCCTTTTTAAAGAAAATATTTTTGTGGGTATTTTGAAGGGTAAAAGGAAGCAGAAAATAGCATGGATGTTAAGAAAGCCTCTATTTACAAATGTAAAAACTTTATTTAAAAAAATGAATAATATAAATAATTTAACTACTTACAATATCATTTACATATCATTTATATGTACGATTAAAATCAATTAGGACCAATTTCAAACATCAGCAACTGGAGTCTCTTCCTTCAAGATTTTTAAAATAAAAACAACAACTACCCATACTACCGGTAGAAAAAATAAAAGCAAACAAAAAAATTATAATAAAAGTATCCTATTGTAATGTTAGATATCAATTTTGAAAAGTATTTGGAATGGAGTAGAATAACGATGTAGTAGGATAAAGATGGTAAACCATATTTTATTGCTTTCTCAAGCAGGATCTAGTCAAATCCTTCTT